CTTTCATGAATATTATCGTAAAGATACTGTGCTACAAATTGTTCACAAGACTCGTAAGAAACTGTTGATAATTAATGGAGACAATTTTCTTTTGCTCTTATTGTAATTCCTCCAAACTTTCCCTTTTTAATTGCCTTTTGAGCTTCTAAAGTTCTAGTGCCAAGTTTCTCTTTTAGTCCATGCAATGACCTTATGCTCCGTTGAATCAGTTTGTCTGCATACATTGAAGTAGTGTGTTTCTGAAGATACTCTGACAGTAAACCAAGTTCATGCAACGTGTCAAACATTAGAGCTAAATCCAATAGAAACTGTTCTGAAGTTAGCTTTTTCAACAGACCTTCATAGGCTTTTCTGTCACTTCCAAATCTTGCTTTATCTTTCATTGCTTTTTCAAAATTAAAACAAAGTGCTTCATAATTTTTCCACACTGCTGAAACTTTTCGAAACGGGCTGGCCACCAACCTGGTGCTCAGAAAAACATCCTATTTTGCAAATCTGTTGTTAAAGTTGAGAGGCATATTCAGAGAGTTCCTTTTGACATAGAGGTGATCTACTATAAACTGAGATTAAGACAGTGCCAAATGTAATACTAATATTTTCATCCCACGATCAACCATCACCCATCATCTCTCTTTTCCCTCAGCCTCTCTCCCTTTCTCCCATTCCATCATCCACTTGGTCGTCTAAATGTTTGTGTCGTGCTGGGGGACTTGAACCTGTGACCTTCCGGCTGTACTTACCACCAAGTCTATCTTGGCCATGTGGTTCGTCCTCAGACCAAATCCAATACCATTGGTAGTGTCTCATGGTATTGGATTTGGTCTGAGGACGAACTACATGGCCAAGATAGACTTGGTGGTAAGCACAGCCGGAAGGTCACAGGTTCAAGTCCCCCAGCACGACACAAACATTTAGACAACGTTTCCTTTAAATTGTCCACTTAGCCATCACACAGGCATCCAGGAGTTAGGGAACTGTTGTGAGTTGTATCTTGGGGAAAGGTCAGTACTGTAGTTGGCGTAATTGGACCTTTATTAGCCTCACAAGCTTCGTGTCCCGGATTATGGGAAACAGATACAACTATCAAACAATACTCCTTGTGTACACATAAATGCAAGAATGTTGAATAAAATATATGGTAGGTGAGAAGACGGGTTGAGCTGAGACACTTGGGAAGAGGAAAGGAGGGGGGGGGGAGAGGCAGGTAGGTACACGACTGTACAAAGTATACCCAGTGACAGGGAAGGAAGAGGCTGACGTCGTGACGGCATGAAGCAGATAGTTTGACAGCAGGAAATGCTCGCTAGTGTGACAGTTCGATGATTTTATTGATAAATTACTCCGGTGCTGTGCAATGGCATTATTGGCGTGGTATGTACACAATATTATTTTAAACTTTTTGTCCCTAGAGTTTATCCCCGGAGAGCTTATCCCCGGACATACCTAGTCCGTCTCCTATATATTTGGCCAGAAGAGGGGCTATGCTCTACGGGCTATTCATGCCCGTGCCCCTTTTTGGGTGGCTTAATCTTTATCAATCAATCAATCGAGCTATGCTACTCTTGGGTGGCTTAATCTTCATTAATCAATCAATCGAGCTATGCTACTCTTGGGTGGCTTAATCTTCATCAATCATCGGGCTATGCTCGCCACACTCAACTTCATTACAGTACACTGAAACACGCGTCATCACCTAGGGCTGACGGTGCTCCCAAGACGGTGAACTTGTTGGTCGCCTGAAGATCACAGTAGCACTATGAGGCTAGAGTTAGTCATGAATCATCAACAAGGGTGCAAACGGTTGGATGGAACACTCAGGACCCCGCGCTACCTTGGTGTGGACACTAAAATACTCGTAAGCAGCCATCACTCACATTTAAAATCTGAAAACAATCCCCGGTCATGCCTCTTGCCTTCCCTCGCCTGCAATTATCAACATTGCCAACATTCGATAAACCATCAATAATGCAACAGGTCTAATTGTGGTCCTGCCTGTACTTTACCGCCCCTGCTGTCGCGTCAGCACAGTGCTACACCTTCTTGGGGGCGCTCCTTACGTCACCTCTTGCATGATCATCGACGGGAAATTGTGCTCTACTGCCCGTAGGAATTGAACCCTAACCCATTTGTTCCATCAAATTACGGTCTTTTGAGTGTGTGTGTACTCGCTTAGATATACGTGCATGGTCGTACGTCAGCTCCTAAACCCTGCCTTTGGAGCAACGAGTAATGTGTATTCGCCTAGATGCGCTTGAAGAACAGAGTGCCGGCTCCAATCTTCGCCTTTCCAACATTTTATAGTATAAAGCAATGACTCGGTTATCTCGTTTTTTTTATATATATTTAAATTCCGTCAAAGCCATTCCACTTGCAAACGATGAGTCACAATAACGTGGCTGAAGATATGATAACCAAACCACACATCAGATGGAGAAACGACGACGTTTCGTCCTGGATCATTATCAGTTCCACTCATTGACAATTTGAACACTGACATTTATTTTGTATACTCTATTTTGTAACTCATCTGTGTCTCTTGTTTTCCCCTACCACTGGCTGTATTGTCTTGACCCCCCCCCCAATAAGTGTCCAGCCTCCTCCTTGTCCCTCACAGGTGTCCAGCTTCATGTCTCGACCTCCACAAGTCTCATGTGTGAACATGTCAGTTGCCTACCTGCGACCCTTTGTATTTTTAGTATACCTACTCGCAGAGTTCACCCTTTTCTAGCCCTTTTTCCACTCGCAGAATCAGGTAAAGGGTTTGACTGGTCTACTGATCATCTAGTCCACATATTTGGCCTGTCCACTTCCACTTAGTTCCTTAATCTTCATAATATTTTGTAATACTTCAAGGTTGACGGGTAATCGATGCTTCTTATGTAGGTAATAAATACCTGATACAGTATATGCATTTATAAACAGCTTTTGAGTTCTTTTATGGGGTTTTAACTTTTATATTTACACACAATTGGTGGATGCAAGAGCAGGTTAACACTTATAGCACAAATTAAGTTCTTTTCATTTTAGACAAAGAACATGTTATCTATTCATGTTCCAGCTTCTCACGGGCTCTCTAGCCTAATGTAAACTACAGAATTAGACACCAGACTTCAAGAATTTCAATGCCAGTTCTATTGGTTATATTGTATAAGCATTGGTGTTAACATGTCAAAACAAAAAGAAAAGGTAAATACATTAGTTCCGCTCTGGTGGCTGGGGTTACTAAAACTTACGTGTGAGGTGATATTACACTCGGCTAGTTAAGCTGTCATACCACTGGTAGGTAAATATGATGGAACATAAGTTAGCAAGGCCAGGCGCTGAGCCTTGACGTCACTTAAGCATGAAGGCCAGAGGTGAATGTTGATGTGAATACGGATGGATTGATTATGAACGGATGCCAATATAGTGCTCCAGGATAGGTTTAAAGTTTGAGTGAATAACAGTTAACTACTTTGTGACTTTTCCTTATTGTGAGCATCTTAGCCTGGTTGATAGAGATATTACAGGTCTGTGTTGAAATTCCTGAAGATTCATGTGAATGTGGGTGGGGGATTATCATTATATATATTATACTAGATGGGGGTACCCCATTGCAGCCTGGTTTCTCACCCTTTCCTCTCTCGTCCCCTATCTCCCAACATCCCCTCTCTCATCTGTCTTTCCCTATCCACCTTTCTCCTCTGTTAGAAAATGTAATACATGATTACATAGCACTGAATAAAACTGCTCACCATGCATCCATTATTTAATTTCACACTTTCAATTTTCACATGAAAATTGCATGGGGATCACTAGATACCCATATTTCGTACAGGGTGGCACTTGGGCCAATACCAACTGGTCTATGCACTCACATATGGGTCATGGGTCATGTTGGAGAGTTGGGTGAGGTTAGCACCAAGCATCTCGCCTACTTTGAAGACAGACAAATAGAAAGGCTAACATTCTATTTTATAGACATTGATATTTAAACTTGCTGACACAAACAATAATCTCTTCTTTCAATTTAGAAACTTTAATTATCCTATACTATTGTTTTCTTCCAAAGTAATCTTTCCAACTTCTGTTCTCCATAGATGCAGTCTTACTAAACTGTCTCACACAACATGCATCTTAGTCATGTATTTATTGCTGATGACTCTTGCCTTTTTCAATACATAGTTACATAGATACAAAGATTCAACTTTGCTATCTGTCCTTACGTGCTCCATCTCTTTGTGTCTGTAATTTTGTTCTTTTCTTTTAGGGAGCTGCCTTTAGGTCCATTTTTATGTTTTACTTTTTCCACTTTCACCTCACCTCACCTTCTCTCCGGTGTTAAACATGGAAGCCATTATAATTATATAATTATATATATACTGTATATATATATATATACTGTATATATATATATATATATATATATATATATATATATATATATATATATATATATATATATATATATATATATATATATATATATATATATATATAAAATGTATGTCTCAGTTTTGACTTGATAAGTGTCCAGCATGGTTCAAAATAATTATTGCTGTTGTTTTCATTTAATGTGTGGGTTGTGTTTGTTTACAGCCACATTATTGTGATTGATTCTTTGCAATTACTGTACTTATTTAGGTATAGTTTTACCAAAGTTAGGCAGTATTAAGGAATTTATAGGTAGATCAGGTTATTAAGTTAGCTTTGGTTTAAATAAGTAACTGTGCATATCATGCTTATTAAAAGTATTATTTATCAATCGATAAAGTAAAATTTAAAAATATATATTTCAGTATAAATATTGAAAGGAAAATTTTATTTACATGTACATATGTGATGGAACCAATCTGGCAAATAGGCCTACCACAAACTATGCATACATGTGCAGTAACTAAATTTGGCACATATCAGTAGTTCTCACTTTGTTGAACATTTTTAGTTGTAATTCTTTTCTTAAAGCCAAAATAAAAACATTTAAATGTAAGCTAGTTAGTAAACAAGTGTTTCTGTTTCAGGTGAGAAGCCGCACAAGTGTGTTGTGTGTGGGAAGGCATTCAGTCAGTCCTCCAACCTCATTACCCACATGCGCAAGCACACAGGATATAAACCCTTCGCTTGTGGTCTCTGCGAGAAGGCTTTCCAGCGGAAAGTAGATCTTCGACGCCATCGGGAGTCCGTCCATCCTAACTGTGAGCACATTCCTCCTCCTCCACCACAGCCATTCCCACATCACACTGATTCAGAGAACAACAACAATAACGACAGCATAAGCAACAACAATACACCATCTGAAGTGTCGAGCGAGTCATCCACTCCAAGCACCAACACCTTGCTATAAGTGGGAGGCTGTCCCATTTCTTTCTTCTAATTCCAAAGCAGTGTGTAGTGCTCTTCATACTCAGCACAGGGCACTTTTTGTATACACAGCTATACAGTGTACAGTTATGTTTAATGTACAATTAAACACAAAACTCTCGAGTCATCAATGTGCATTAATTCCACATGTAATTGTGCTACACTGCTGCTTAGATCAATGTACTTAAATGTTGCCTTATACAGTGTGATAGTATCACGTGGATATATGACAGACTGCAGCGCATTGCTCAACTGCCAACTTGTGATCATGATAACGTACATACATGATGAACCCTGCTGTTACTTGCTGTCAAGTGCATGGTCAGTTTGAATCACATCTATCCTGACATGATCACTGAATTCTGATATTCAGATGCCAGACACCATGAGGCTATGGCACAAGGGTTTACTAGCCCTATATAAAAAAAACTATGAAGACATTGCATTTTGAATTTTCATAATTCTATTTTATGAATGTATCACAATGCTCTTTTGTGAAACTGAAATTTCCATTGGAGACTACAAGTTCTGGTCTGACTTATACTGTGTTACATTTTTTATAGTCTCATAAGTTTTGGAGTCACAGCAATATGATAAAGACACTAACAGTCAAGGTAATAGTAGTGTAGAAGAAGATAATAGTTTAGTCATTTAATTACACAGTTGAATATTCGTGATGCAGTCCTATAGTTACTTGTATGGCATTTATACAAGTCTTGGAAATCACAGTCATGCCCTATACGATCACGTAAGCTGTGTATCATAGGTGTAAATCAAGATACATATAGCCATGGTGTAAGCACAGGCAGATAGTCATGACAAACATGCATCACATGAAATCAATCATATCTATGACACTGGTACAGACAGCCAAATAGTTGTGATCTTGACAAAGACCAGATTCATAATCATGGCAGCTTGGAAGACAACTTCACAGGCACGAGTCAGAAATACACTTGTTACCTAATAATGTAAGTGGAGAGTCGTAGAGCCATGACTGGTCCACAGATGGTTTCAGTCATTGCGTTAGTCAATCTTCATGTACAAACTCTTCAGTATTAACCTGGAAAACCTGAGGGGTCCAAGTCGGCTCTATTCGTGAATTCACTTTTTGCTTTTAAAGCTTCCATGTAGTACACTGACTGTGGGTTTCAAGGCTTTTTTGTGGAATACTGTCTGCTGGTGTAAAGATTTCCACATGAAACAAGAGTCTGTAAGTCTAGACATCTGCATGGAACACCAACCCTACAAGTTCAGAGGCTTCTATGGGGAACACCCGAGACTGGGTGTAAAGGCCTTTCTGTGAAACACTTTTGCTGTGTGTAGAGCCAGTTTGATAATGAACCCAACATCTCTCCTTGCTTGTACTGTTTACAGGCAGCTCGAGAAGTGTTAGAGTGGCACATGTTGGCCAGACACGAGGTGACCAGAGAGACCAGTGATGTGGCTTACTCCTTAGTTCCTCGTCACACAGTTAGGGACTAGTCAGTTAGCATCAAACCAAAGTAAATTTAAGTCAGTTCTATTTATCATGGTGAACTAGTGACACTGAGGTATATTGATTAGGTTATTTTAATGTTCTTCCTATGTAGAGCCGATTTTAATGTCAAGAAATATTGTGTGAATATTTGTTTTTAGAATTTTACTGTACAGATGATTAATAAATTAGCAGAGTACTGTATTACTGTACAAATGAGGATGTAATTTGTTTTGTGAACTAGATAAAAAATGTGTTCATATTATGTCCTCAGAATTGTCATTGTTTCAATTATCATCTCTATATGGCCACCAGTTATTCTCTATGGTGAATACATTTGTAAATATTACGTGGTGCACGGAAATGATGTGGTTGGGCGTTCACACTGTGCCTTTATGATGTCTGTAGCCGTGTACAACAGTACAAGGCTGGTTCCCCTCTCCGGTTTCTCATTTGGTTTGGGCGTCAAGTGTCACACGATGCCTTCCGGCCTTATTTTCAAATGGACGATTGGAGTCAGTTCTGGATCTCTTCAGGTCCATTTTTTTTTTTTTTGAGCGAGTTGGGAGCCAGTCACAGCTTTCATGGTTACTCAAGCAGTTTTACCCTGTTATTAAATCCAACCACTAGCCCTTAGTGGTTTATTCTTTGTATAGTTTCTGGCCCCCAACTTTAATTTTTGCAATGTCAATATTGTTTAGGAGTGATGTTATCATGAATTTCAGTAGAATGTAAACCTGTCAGTATTTTAGTTGGCACACAGTTAATAGATAAATAAGTGAAAGTTTGAAAAGCCAGATTTATTCATGCGACATTTTTCTTCGGGACCAATTGTTGCAAGATATTGTGATAGCTCCAGCGACTTTGCCAGTATTGTGTCGTAATACAGTATATAAATACAGTATTATGTTCTGTAGAATTCCACTTGAACTTCACTCACTTGAGAAAGTACATGTGAACTTAAATTGTAAATAGACATTAAATTTTTATTTGTATACTGTCAAAGACAGATTCAAAGCCGCTGGTTATGAAAAACTTATATTTTAGTGAAAAAAACAATGTTTCTCACATTTTTTGGCTCATATTTTGTAAATATTTTTTTTACACTGCCAAAGAGTTATTGATTGTCGAAATGTTTCTGTGACAAAAGTTATCACTTTTTGCAAATGAAAATGCACTCTCAACCTACTAAAAACGTAAACAAATATTTATTTATGCAAGACAGAGTCCCAACTTCGTCTTTCAGTGTTTATTGTACTTGTTCTGGTGCATAATTTAATGCAAGTTGTCTCACACTCCACCCCAAGTCTTCAGAAAGTAATGCAGGAATCTGCAATTGTAATGTCTGGTGTCTACTGCTTGTCTAAATACAGTAATGTAAATCTTTGATTTACATGTCTCTCATCATCCTCCTCTTCACCTTCCACCAAACTCAACTACTCTTGGTTAGCAACATGTTTATTAGAAGACAAGGAATATAGATACTACTGATGTATATAATTTACACAATGAATATTGGAAAGCTAGAATTACCAAAGATGAATCATGGCCTGCACTGAGTGTGGCTGGGAGATGCGAGCTCCAGGAAAGTCAGCTCACTGAATCAATTTCTTTTTCAAAAAATCAATAAATCAATTGTATTCTGATGCTGTTTATATGTGAATATGGATTCTGACACATGACCCAACATCAGAATACAGTACATCATTTACAGAAATATAGGAAAGCCGACGGCTCATCACAAACTCTCAGTATTATGCTAGTGTAAAGGGCACCCAACACCAGCCATAAGTGACATGTAGTCATGAGGCAGAATACTTGAATACAGTAAACCAAACACAGCACCTTTGCCCATACTTCAGTATGGCAGCATTACCCCCCTTCACATCTCAGTATGGCAGCATTATCCTATAACACTCATCTCAGCCTAGCACCATTCTCCTACCCCCACATCTCAGCCTGACATTATTCCCTGCCCCCCCCCCATCCCAGCCTGGCACTATTCCCCTACCCCCACATCTCAGCCTGGCATTATTTCCCCCCCCCCATCATAGCCTAGCACCATTCCCTTGCCCCCTCATCTCAGCCTGGCACCATTCCCCTGCCCACATCTCTACCTGGCACCATTCCCCTACCCACATCTCAGCCTGGCACCATTCCCCTGCCCCCACATCTCAGCCTGGCACCATTCCCCTGCCCCACATTTCAGCCTAGCACTATTCCCCTGCCCCCCTCATCTCAACCTGGCACCATTCCCCTGCCCACATCTCTACCTGGCACCTTTCCCCTCCCCACATCTCTGCCTGGCACCATTCCCCTGCCCCCACATCTCAGCCTGGCACCATTCCCCTGCCCCCCCATCTCAGCCTAGCACTATTCCCCTGCCCCCCTCATCTCAACCTGGCACTATTCCCCTGCCCACATCTCTACCTGGCACCATTCCCCTTCCCACATCTCAGCCTGGCACCATTCCCCTGCCCCCACATCTCAGCCTGGCACTATTCCCCTGCCCCCACATCTCAGCCTGGCACCATTCCCCTGTCCCCCTCATCTCAACCTGGCACCATTCCCCTGCCCCCATATCTCAGCCTGGCACTATTCCCCTGCCCCCACATCTCAGTCTGGCACCATTCCCCTGCCCCTACATCTCACCCTGGAACCCTTATCCCATCACCCTAACCCCCATCTCTCTTTTGCCCTTACTTGACCCACTAAATTTCCAGAAACCCATCTTTCTGTCAGTTTTCCAAAACATTTATACCCACTAGTACAACTACTATTACATTTATTAGTATTATAGTATTAGTATTATCTAGTATTACATTTCCCTAACATTACTAGTCCTGTACTCGTCATCACACCCCACATGACCATTATTCCCATGCCCCGTCCCCCAGCCAGGCACAACAACTACCAACTACTATTCCAACACTGACATGACCATTGTCTCTGCATCTCAGTCCCTGCACTATGTAGCTATTCCTGATCCCTGTCTCCCAGCCTGGTGCCAGTAATCTCTTCTCCATTTTAGGACGTAAAATATGCAATGACACAAAAGCCATGGATTGTATTTACTGTTGGAGTTTAGTCATTTACAAAGAGGTTAATTTAATGTATGTATAACTAAGAAAATAAAGTATCTTCTCATGTTTTTAGAAAAAATGTATAATTAACCTTACTCTGCAGATAGGAATATAAAGGAATTTCAGTACAGAATTGAATTTGTTAAACCAGACTCAAAATATATGCAGCATATTGTGTAACTTTATTGTATCTGGAAACTGCAGTTTTCCCATCTAAATACCTGTACATTAAGAGATTCAATATAATTTATAATACAGTATTACTGTATAACACACCCTGGAACACTAATCACACTGCACTGATACTTTCTAAACTGGACTACTTAATCAGCTATGGCAAAACTGAACCTAAACCAACTAGATCTATTACATGATAATGGACTATGACCAAGTACTAGCATGTTCTAAATAACTTCCAGAACCTGTCCAGGGATCCCTACAGTTGCTACTTTCACTCGACCCTGGCAGTTGAGATTAGAGTATGGGTCCGAGCCATCATGCATAACGGCACATCACGACTCATCTGAGACACAAGGTGTAACTGGAGCTTATGTGAAAAAGGGGGTACAGAAAGGCAGCACACAGAGTGATATAATGCAATTGATGGTTAGAAAAAGCATTATGTCCTGTACTTAAGTTTAATGACACTTAAATGCAGTATCACAAATGGTGCTTACACTGAGCAGAGATGTAAGACATTTACACATAACTTAAAAAGCATGACCACCCTCTACTTACACTTATGCATAAAAATGTAAGTGTTACAAGCACAGGTATACAAATTATAGTTAACAATGACACATGATTATAAACATATCAAAATATGAGAGAATACTCACATAAACATCAGGAGTTGTGTTTTGTAGAATACCCACAAAACAGCATGGGACGGCCTTAACTCCAACCTATATAATGCAAGGCACTTAATCTACAGATTTTGTTGATTGGTGGCAGTGATCCTTGCATCATTAGTCTCTTACACAGTAATGGCTAGCATTGAGAAGTACACAGTCATGCAATTACTACATGGTATCATATCAAGTGGTAGCAGAATGCACTGACACACAAGGCTCTTATTGATTTATGATCACTAACACTTATATGCAGAGTAGTTGTAGCCTTTCTGTAGATATGCTTGGTGCAGAAAGTGGAGCTGAAGTAGTAGAGGACATTGAAGCAGATGATGTCATGAGATGGAAGCCCACACACTCTGCTCCCCACATAGATCAAACAGAAGCAGGACCAACCTAGTTGAAAAATCCTTGGATGTAACTGCCCAATACCATTCTGTAACAAGACAGAATGTTGGGTAACATTCAAAGTATGGCACAAGTGAGAGTGAGGATGCTGCAGGGACAGTGCAAGAGTGAAGAAATAATGCAAGCTTTTGCTTGGAAAGTAATCAAACCCTTTTCTTGCTCACATCACACCAGTTTTTGCTATGAAAGTGACAATAAACCTGGTGGCTGTACCCAAGGTAAAGTGCCCTAGTACCTTCCAAAAGGAAGTAAAAATACTAATTATCCAAATAAAGCACCATGCTGGGAAGACTATTTAGCACCATTTGTGTTGCAGAATATCCAAAAGGCCATAAAATGTCACTCAGGAAGCCAACACGAGACCAAAAAGACACATGCCGAGCAACAGAACCTTGTGGAGACTATGAGCCACAATAACGTGGCTGAAGATATGATGACCAAACTACACATCAGAAAATGGAGAAACGACAATGTTTTGGTCCGTCCTGGACAATTATCAAGTCCTGTGTTAAAAGAGAGAAAGGTAGTCAAATAAATATGGAAAGAGAGGGAAAGGAAGTTGGAGTGAGGGAGGTTGGAGTTTTCCAACTATTAAGTGAACATTAAGTTCCATTAAGTGAACTTAGGTTAAGAATGTATGGCCAATACATAACCTAGCCATGGCCATTTTCCATTGTCTATTCTGGTGATAGGAGGGCCAAAAGAATAGTTTACCCTTAAGAGTGAGCAGCTTGTTACCTATAACCCCAGCCCAATGACCCTGCCAGCAGTCTAGAATTGAGGAATGAATGACTGGGTAGAAATCTGAATAAGGAATGCCTTTTTGGGAAATAGGTCAAGTGCAGATAGCCTCCATAGCAGCAGTGTCTGGATGTTCACTTAAGGTAATACCAATATGGCTGGGAACCCAGCAAAACTCAACTGTCATAAATTTACTAGAGATAAGAAATGGCCAATTTTGGATTTCAGCCACAACAGGATGCATAAATGACTCAAGAGCATGAGAGCACTGCAAGGGTCAACCACAATGACAAAGGAACATTGACGTCAGGAACGCATTTAACGAAGATCATACAAGACTGCATAAATTTCCGCACTGAAGATGCTAGTCTCCAGAGGTAGACAGCACATTTAGGTTTGGTAAGCAAAGATAGCAGAGCATCCAACACCATCAGCAAACTTGTACCCATCTGTAAATAAAGCAATAGAGTGTGAGTGTAAAGAAAGATGTTCAAGGAAAAAGATATTTCCTAACTGTAGGAGGGTTATAAGCCTTTACTATGGGGGGTCAAGGTCTTCTAAAACTCTGCAAGTGGGACCCTCCATGAGGGGGCAAGGAAGGAACAACATGAAGAGAAATTTTAAACTAGAATCAAAGGGGGGACTCTTGCAAGAAAAAAGGGAAAGGGGGGGGAAAGAAAACAGTGTCCACATGAGGGGTAACATTCAAAATATGGCATAAACTTGAGGATGTTGCAGGAACAGTGCAAGGTAGTCAAGGCAGTAATGATTACGACAATCCTGTAGACAGTATGCCAATTTTCAACAAACAAGCTCAGGGTTGAAAGGGTTGAACAAAAGGCACCAGAAATGAGGCATAACCCAGTATGGTGCAAAGCATCAAGATGATGAAGAGTGGAAGGAGAGGCAGAGGAGTAGACAGGACAGCATAATCAAGTTCAGACAGCATGAGAGAGTAGTGCAAATAGTGGAAAGTGGTCCATCCAGGAAGTGTGGGACAAGACCAAGTAAGGTAAGGGCTTAGATAATTCAGCTCGGAGGCGAGAGTTATGGGGTGACCAAGACGAACAAGTTCAAAGATTAACCAAAAAAAAAGTTTGCAGAATCTGTATATAGAAGGGAACTACTATAGTGACAATTGGGGATGAACAACCTACTTCTGAGTAAAAGTCATAGCACAAGTCTTAGTTGTGGAGAACTTCCAGGATAACATGGTATCAAATGCAACTTGAAGCTGTCACTGGAGGAAGGTAAAAGGAGGAAGGAAGGAACGAAGGCCAATTAGGAAATAAAAAGGTTAGTGCTTGGTACACTACCTTAGGGAATACCTTCATATTGTTGAAAAAGTTAGAGAAAGTGGTACCAATTTCTCACCAAAAACAAACTACCAGAGAGGAAGCACTGATGGAAGAGCAGGAGATTGTCACAAAGGCCAAAATAATGAAGTTGAGATAAAATATTTTATCTCCAGGTGATGTCATAAGCCTTTTTTATTGTTGCCACTCCAAAGGAATGGCAACAATGGAGGTTTTCACAATAAAGGCATTATGAATGTATACCTCCAAGTCCAATAAGACATCAGGCATGAAGCAAATCTTGAGAAAATGAAATAGAGAGGCAAAGAGGTAGCGAGTGTCTTCCAAGAACTACATTAGACATACATTGACCACGCATTCAAAAGTTTGCAAATGCAATTCATCAGGGCAATGGGGCAAAAATCCCTATGGAAAGTCCCTAGAGTAACAAGTTTCCGAATGAGAAGAACAACCGCCTCAAGCCAGTCATCAGGGACTGACAATGTCTCCCAAATACAGTTATAGATATTCAGCAAATACTGCCAAGTACACTGAGGGAGATGATAATGCATCTCATAGTGAAAATGATCTGAGCCTGCCTCCATATACCTGAAGAGAGTTAGGACAAACTGGAGTTCCAATAGAGAGCATAGATGAGAGCTGTAGGCAAATGTGAAAGTTCAAGAGACAAGATTCAATAAGAAGCTATGAGAAAGGAAAGTAGGATGAAGAACCAGAGCTAACAGTTGAGAAGTGCTAACCCAGTACATTTGCGACAAGCATTGGATCTGCCATGACAGAACCACGGAGATAAAGGACAGGTGATACATCTGGAACAAATTTATCTGCAATCTTAGATTTTCTTCTGGATTCAAGGGAGAGGGGTGTCTACTGTAATGATGGAGACACAAGATTTCCAATTATCATGCTTAGTTGTACGAGTGGCCCTACAGGCCACCACAAAATAAGAATCGAGTGTCTGTCAATGTTGGTGTCTTTTCCAAACTTTATGCTTACAACGTACAGCCTGAGCACAGTCAGAATTCCACCAGAGAATGCACTGCCGCATGCAACAGAACTTATGGCAAAGAACAGAGCAGAGGGCAGTGTCAAATAAGGTGTTGTGAAAAAGAAGGTGGGCTCAAGAGGCAGATATGTCAGGAAGAGTAGCATGGAGAGTGAAAAGATTTCAGTCAGCCTTATCAAACCACCACCAAGGGAAAGAGAGAAAAATGGATAGAAAAAAAAAAGTTAAGAAGATGGGGGGAAATGGTCATTGTTATGGAGGTCATCAAGATAATTCCATGTGAGTTGTACAGTATATAAATAGAAGAGGAACAGACAATAAGATCAAGACAGGAAATGGTGCGAGTGCGCAAGTCAACATTAATTGGGTCACCAAAATTCAGCAGACAACAAAGAAGAGGACAAAGATTCTAGAAGACAGCCTCAAGCATTTGTCAGATCATCGTCCAAGAGGGCATGCCAGTAGTTAAAATCTAAAAAGCAGCATAGGCTCTGGTAATGAGTACAACAGGTGTTTAAGATCAGAAAGAGGAAGCAAAAATGTGGGAGGAGATAAATGGAACAAACTGTGTATCATTTACTCACAAAGATACAGGCATCAGGGGAATAAATGTTCAACTGAAAATACAGGGGGACAAAGAAAATATCTTTCTGTATCGAGAAAGCAGTAGAGTTAGGGGCCCACCAAAAGCTGCATGGGGAGAGATAACCGTGGAAGTGACCAGAACAAGCACCAAGCATCAGCTCCTGCTTATGAT